CCCAGCTACTCGGGAGGCTGAGGCAAGAGAATCACTTAAGCCCAGGAGTTGGAGGTTGCCGTGAGCTGGTGTCACACAGCACTCTACCAAGGGCAAAAAAGTGAGACTCTGTCTCTATAAAAAAAAAAAAAAAAGCAGAAGTCTTAAATGCAGCCTAGTCTGAAAGAAGCAGAGGGTAAATGTTAATAAGCAGTGGCAAAGGGAGATACAAATAGGCAGACATATCTACTCATATTTTTTTAATTCAGAATCGCTATCCTAAGGGCAGTGACCTTTTTTTTTTTTTTTGAGACAGAGTCTCACTATGTTGTCCTCAATAGAAGGCTGTGGTATCACAGCTCATAGCAACCTTAAACTCTTGGGCTTGAGAGATTCTCTTGCCTCAGCCTCCAAAGTAGCTGAGACTACAGGTGCCTGTCACAATGCCTGGCTACTTTTTGTTGCAGTTGTCATTGTTGGTTAACTGGCCCAGGTCAGGTTCAAACCCACCAACTTTCGTGGATGTGGCTGGCACCATAACCATTGTGCTATGGGTGCCAAGGCATCTACTCATATTTTTAAAAACAGATTACTCAATGTCTTAAGTATATATACTGCAGATAATGAGAACCAGATTTCTCACTATAAGAAAAAGAAGTTGCAAATAAGGAAAGGAAAAAAAGTCTAGAGTGAACTTTGTGGTATTGGATTGGAATTAGTGGTATCATTATGAACTTAGGGGTTCTTTGATATAGATAAATATAGAAATATAGATGTATTTGCATACATTAGTATACATACATATACATACATATATTCCTATGTCTGTCTATGGTGATGGCTTAGAAGTGTTAGATATCCCAGTAGCAATAACTACACCTAGCAGCCAGATTTTGGCTTCTAATGCCATTCTCCAAAAAGTAATAGGGCTTTTTAGAGAAACTAATTCTGTGGCTGAGGCAAGGAAAGTACAAAGTCTGAAGCTAAAAAACCTAGGAAGTGCTCAAATTAAAACTATTGGAGGTCATGTCAAAAAGGCATAATCAAAAGCCAACCAGAGTCTCAGCGACTATAGCTCAGCAGCTAGGGTGCCAGCTGCATACACCAGAGCTGTCATGTTCGAATCCAGCTCTGGCCTGCCAAACAGCGACAACTACAACCAAAAAATAGCCAGGCGTTGTGGTGGGTTCCTGTAGTTCCAGCTACTTGGAAGACTGAGGCAAGAGAATTGCTTAAGCCCAAGAGTTTGAGGTTGCTGTGAGCTGTGACACTACAGCACTCTACCAAGGGTGACAGTGAGACTCTGTCTCAAAAAAAAAAAAAAAAAAAACAGCCAACCAGAGCTGGGCCTGTTGGCACAGACCTACAGTCCCAAGCCTACCTGGGAGGCTGAGACAGGAGGATCACTTGAGCCCAGTAGTTTTAAGACCAGTCTGGGCAACATAGTGAGACATCATCTTGTTTAAAAAAAAAAAAAAAGCCAACATGAAAGAACTCCCAATGACCAAACCTAAACAAATTTGAGCAGAAATAAATATTGACAGGGGCTGGGTGCAGTTGCTCACACTTGTAATCCTGTCTTGGAGGCCAAGACAGGTGGATTGCCTGAGCTCCCAGGTTCAAGACCAGCCTGAGCAAGAGTGAGACACTATCTCAAAAAAATAGCCAAGCATCGTCGCAGGTGCCTATAGTCCTAGCAACTTGGGAGGCTGAGGCAAGAGAATTGCTTAAGCCCAGGAGTTTGTGGTTGCTGTGAGCTACAACAGCATTCTACCAAGGGGGGCAAGTGAGATTCTGTCTCGAAAAAAGAAAAAAAAATATATATATATATATAGAGAGAGAGAGAGAGAGACAGTCTCACTATGTTGCCCTGGGTAGAGTGCCATGGCATCACAGCTCACAGCAACCTCAAACTCTTGGGTTTAAGCAATTCTTTTGCCTCAGCCATCCAAATAGCTGGAATACAGGCACCCACCACAACACCCGGTTATTTTTTTGTTGCAGTTGTCACTGCTGTTTAGCTGGCCGGAGCTGGGTTCGAACCTGCCAGCCTCGGTGTTTGTGGCTGAGGCTGTGCTACAGGTGCCAGCCAAAATAAATAAATATTGATAGCATTGAATTATAACTCATAAAAATAAGTAAGATAATTGTACTATGGTTATGTAGGATGTTAATATTAGTACAAATGGATGAAAGGTTATATGAGGACTCTCTATAATTTTTGCAACTTTCTCTTTTTTAATTTTTGCAACCTTTTTTTTTGGAAAGAGCCTCAAGCTGTCTCCCTGGGTAGAGTGCCATAGCATCACAGCTCACAGCAACCTCCAACTCCTAGCTTAAGCGATTCTCCTGCCTCAGTCTCCAAAGTAGCTGGTACTACAGGGGCCTGCCACAACACCCAGCTATTTTTTTTTAGACAGTCTCACTTTATCACCCTCAGTAGGACGTCACATAGTTCACAGCAACCTCCTACTCCTGGGCTTTACCTCAGCCTCTACAGGCACCCACCACAATACCCAGCTATTTTTTTGTTGCAGTTTGGCCAGGGTTGGATGTGAACCCGCCACCCTTGGTATATGGGGCCAGCGCCCTACCTACTAAGCCACAGGCGCCACCCCACCTGGCTATTTTTGGGTTGTAGTTGTCATTGTTGTTTGGCAGACCTGGGCTGGATTTGAACACGCCAGCTCTGGTGTATGTGCCTGGCACCTTAGCCACTTGAGCTACAGGTACTAAGTCAATTTTTGCAACTTTTAAGTCTCAATTATTTCAAAAATAGTTAAAAATCGGCTCAATGCCTGTAGCTCAGTGGATAGGGCACCAGCCACATATACTGGGGATGACGGGTTCAAACCCAGCCCAGGCTTGTAAAGCAACAACGACAACTACAACAAAAAATAGCCGGGGGCTCAGCGCCTGTGGCTCAAGTGGCTAAAGCACCAGCCACATACACCTAAGGTGGCAGGTTCGAATCCAGCCCGGGCCCACCAAACAACAATGCCGGCTGCAACGAAAAAAAAAATAGCTGGGCGTTGTGGCGGGCACCTATGGTCCCAGCTACTTGGGAGGCTGAGGCAGGAGACTCGCTTGAGTCCAGGAGTTGGAGGTTGCTATGAGCTGTGACGCTACAGCACTCTACCAAGGGTTACATAGTGAGACTTTTGTCTCAAATAATAATAATAATAATAATAGAAGGATTAGTCTCAAAATTCAAAGAAAGAAAATGTTTAAGCTTGGTGCCTATAGCTCAAGTGGCTGGGGTGCCAACCACATACACCAGAGCTGGCAGGTTTGAATCCAGGCCAGGCCTGCCAAACAACAATGGCAACTACAACCAAAAAAATAAATAGCCAGCCGTTGTGGCAAGCACTTGTAGTCCCAGCTACTTGGGAGGCTAAGGCAAACAAATTGCTTAAGCTCAAGAGTTTGAGGTTGCTGAGCTGTGACGCCATGGCACTCTACCCAGGGCGACAGCTTGAGACTCTGTCTCAAAAAAAACAATAAAATAAAATAAAATAAAATAAAATGTTTATTTATAAGTGCTAAGAAGTGACAAGGATGGAGACCAGAATTAGTCAAGTATACTTAGTAACTATGTAAATATTTTACATAATTATAAAATAAAGCAAAAGTTGAAAAAATAACTCCAAAAAATCAAAACTAGAATGGAATAAATGAACATAAATGTGTATACAAGTAGTAATATAATCACATAGAAAGAAATTATTCCAGGTGACTAAAATATAGTAATTGACTATGCATCACTAGTAAGGACAAAAAGAACTGTTTCTACTCCCTACTCTCCCTTCAAAAAAAAAAAAAAGTAAACAATTTCTCAATGATAATAATAGTTGGTAGTGCTGGTATTGTAAATCTAAGATTGTCATGGATGTAGTGTGGGGGAAAGCAAATCAATGACAATTTTATCATTTCTAGAGTTATTAAGAACCAGGATTTTCAGGGTGGAAGAAAGGAAATATTGATGAGAGTAAGTAAAGGAATATAGGAGGCAAGAACCCTGTGTTTCTGAATTTAAATTAGGGATACCAGTACCAATTTGTTATATATTTTACTTTTTTTTCTTTTTTGAGACAGAGCTTCAAGCTGTTGCCCTGGGTAGAGTGCTGTGGCATCACAGCTCACAGCAACCTGGGCTTAAGTGATTCTCTTGGATCAGCCACCCAAGTAGCTGGGACTACAGGTGCCCACCACAACACCTGGCTATTTTTTGGTTGTAGTTGTCATTCTTGTTTGGCAGGCTCAGGCCGGATTCAAACCCGCCAGCTCTGGTGTATGTGGCTGGCGCCTTAGCTGCTTGAGCTATAGGCCTCTAGCCATATCTGATACATTTTGTCAAACCAGAGAACTAGGAAGCTGTTAAAGTCTACCGGGAAGCTGGGTGTGGTGGCTAACGCCTGTAATCCTAGCACTCTGGGAGACTGAGGCAGGTGGATTACTTAAGCTCAGGAGTTCAAGACCAGCCTGAACAAGAGCGAGACCCTGTCTCTAAAAATAGCCAGGTGGGCGGCGCCTGTGGCTCAGTGAGTAGGGTGCCGGCCCCATATACCTAGGGTGGCAGGTTCAAACCTGGCCCCAGCCAAATTGCAACAAAAAATAGCCAGGCATTGTGGCGGGTGCCTGTAGTCCCAGCTACTCAGGAGACTGAGGCAAGAGAATCGCCTAAGCCAAGGTCTTTGAGGTTGCTGTGAGC